TGGAGATATTCAAAACCCATCTGGATGTGATCCTGTGCAAGGTGCTCTAGAGGCCCCTGCTTGAGCAGGGAGGTTGGACTAGATGATCTCCAGAGGTCCCTTCCAACCTAAACGATTCTGTGATTCTGTGATTCTGTGAATCTTATTTTTAGAATTCCTATGTTACGTTTTGTAAATTTACTATTGCAAGCAGTTCGTGAGTAGGATAGCCAGAGTTGGGAGAAAATCAGAGCCCATGGATGTTAGCAGAGATATCTAGAATCTGGAATGGTGAGGCTAGGGAAATGGAGTGCAATGGGAGAAGTGGGTGCACCTTCCAGTAAGCTCTGAGAATGTGGATGTGTTTAGAAACTGCTACTTCAGTGTAAATGTAAATATTGATAAAACTAACCAAAATGCTTGTGTGAGATTCAAATGCTTGTATGAGACTTCATAATAGTGGAAAACTATAATATTGATTTCTTGTGTGTTACTTTGTTTATAAATTCAGAGCATGCAATGCTTAATTTTTCAATTATTATTACTTTTTTAAATGGAACTGACTTTACTAATGATTGGTAATGAAAACAGGAATTATCTCTAACCAGTATAGATGAGTACTTATTGTTCTTTCTATTGCTGTTTTTTTGAAGACTTCTTTTAAATGGTTCATTTCCCTAACTAAAATTATTTACTTCCAGTACGTGCAGTAATAATAATTGTCTCTTTTTCTAGAGATTCCTCTGCAGCTGAGAAAGCTATGAATCATAGAAGGTAATTTACCTAGTTGTCTGTAAAATTTGCGTTTAATCCCCCTGTTAAAATTACTATGTTCTATTTTGTGTTAATATAGAATTTACTAGAAAGGGATCGTGATTCATGCTTGAGGCATCCGCGTACTTGTACTAATACAGCTAACAAAATAATAAAATCCTTTTTCCAGTGGTGAATAAGCTGTCACAATAGGATTTTTGCCTTTGGGGATTTTTTGCTTTGAGGCTCGCTTGCACCTTAGCATGTGACTTTTAAACAGAAATATGCACTCTAGAATCTGTTAACAAGTGTATGAATAACTTTGTTGCCATTAAGTAGGGTATGTGCTAGTCTCTGGAATGCAAACTGCGCAGGTGGATAAGCACATACCTTTTCCTTCATGGGAAGGGAACTTAATAAGAAAGCAAAGGGAAGTGACAGTCTAGATTTACTGAATTCTTATATTGCAGTTCTACTGAAAACTTTAGTGTGTTAATATAAATGATCCAACTGCAGACTTGGACTGGACAAACTGGTGCTACAAAGTGTAGGTGCAATGATCTAGAATTGAAGTGCACCTTTTGGAGTTCTTATGGGTCCTAGCTACCTTCAGCTGCTGAACTTGATCTGTTTCCGTTGTAATGGTAGTGAAGTGCAGCCAAGGACTGGGGGAAGGGGGGAAGGTTAGGGCTACTAAGGCTAATGTTGTTTACTGAAGTCCCGTTATAAACAACTTGATTGCTGGAGAATTTCTCTCTGGTGGAAGTGCATGCATGTTAATTATTGTCAAGTTATGGGGAAGGTTTTATGACAGGATACTTAGCTAAATTATAAACTATTTTTCGGCCCTTTTCTTACAGCATATAGAACACTTCTTTAAAGCTTTTTATAATCATGGTGCAGAGAAAAGGAGGAGGTCCCTTTCTCCTGAAAGGGAGGGGAAAAAAAGAAAGAGATTTTAGTAAGTCTGGTTAGAGAGATTACATGAACACTAGTTTGGCTGTATGTTGACTGAGTAGAGGAGCAGTTTTTAGTGTACTCTGTTCGATGGTTTTGGGACCTGTGGTTTCTAGCTAGCAGTCATTTGCTTCCATGTCTAATTGGTAGAGACATTGCATTTAGAAGCAAAGACTGCGTGATCTGAAAAAAGTTGATTTGCCACTCCTGGTTTTGCTGTAATGTTCTTTTGATATGTAACATTTCCAGATGATTTTTGTTCTTTTATTTTCTTTGAAGTGGGCCTTTACTAGAAGATGATGTTAAATTTACTTCCAGAAGGAAGTCCTTTGCTTGTAAACAGGATAATTCATCTTCAGGTAATGTTTAAAGTTGATGTTTTCCTACATTTTCTGTATATGCTTCTTAGGTTATGATTCTGGAGTAATGTCTATTATATCTCTCACTACTGGCTTGTCCAGAATAACAAATGCAAATTGGAGTGGGAGTGATCACATTTCTGTTCAGGTATATGATACAGTGTTTATGCCAGCTTTATATTATGTTACCCATGGAAGGACAAGCACTGTGTGGTTTGACATAAAGCCTACCAGGATTAAATTGTCCTTCCAAAATATTTTGAACAAACTTTTAATACTCAGTTTGTACCAACTTAGTGTGTTGTCAAGTGATGGTACTGTGTTTTGATCGCTTCCTGCCACTCTAGGTCAAAGTTTACAGCCTTATGGAATCATGGCCTGTTTACCTAAGAATACTTTCATTTTCTATGCTATGTTTCCATACACAAGTTGCACATACTGTCATAGCAAGTACGAACTCTGAGGATAGAAAGTCTTTTCTTTAATGCTCTAGAGCCAGTTGTAAATGTTAGTTAGTTTATGCAACGCTTTCTTCAGAGACCTACTTTGGTGCATGTTTTGAAAGTAGCTTTCTTCTGAAGTTATACTTGAGTGGCATAAAGCTGAATGATCTTGCACTTCGATCAATAGAATTATGTGTGGTAGATATAATTTGCATATAGTTTTTTTTTTTTCAGAGGGATAGATCTGAGGAATGTTTACTTCTATGCATAGTTTTCATACAATTTTCAAGCTTATTCTACATAAAATTGTATTACGTATGCTGTTTATTTACATCAAGGGTTTCATATTTGTTTAAGGAAATTGGAGCTTGGGAATTTTGCTCATAATTACTTTTGGTTGCTCCTAGTTGATATATTGAATAATTGAATGTTGAAGTTAGGAGCAGTATTGTGATGGATTTTGTTGAATGTATTTTCAGATAACTCTGAAGATTTGAATTGTCAAATAAACGATCTGTTGTCAAACAGTATAGCAAGGCATAAAATAGGTAAGATTATTTTAAAATACCTTAATGTAAGCCTATAAATACAAATGTGTTTCCAGGTTGACAAAGATTACACTAAAGGAGGTGTAGGAAAACCCCTGGAAAAGGATTCATGCACTGATTTATTAAGCATCATTAGTACTTTATGCAATGCCGAGTCCTCAAAGCCTTAATTTTAAGCTGAAAAATATTTGGAGAACAGGCAGAAAAAATGTGGAAGGTATTTGTAGATAAGGCTTGTTCATCCCTCATTAGGGTACTGTGTAACCCTGCTCTAATCTTTAAGTTACTTTAAAGGACTTTCCCGTTTTCCTTTTTTATTGTATTTGACAATTATCTTTTTAATTATCACCTTTCCATTTTTCGTTTACTATTGAGGCAGGCACTGCTTACTATTTGGTAACTGCTCTCTCCCATCAATTCATAGGTGTCCTCTTAATCTGTGGCAAGTCTAAGAGAATTTGAAGTAGTTTGACATAATTTAACTGAGGATGCAAATGACCTTATTTCCTGTTGTGGTCCAAGCTGGTCATGTGGGAGGATAGGCTGGAACAGTAGGCATGCAGTGGATTGTAATCCCACACTAATGTGTCTTTATTTTTTTATTTGTTGTTAATCCCTTCATTATACTTTATGTGCAACAATAGATTTGCCTACTTTCAAAGGCTAGTTAAGCAATTTTTTATTTACCATTTTTATTTTTAGCATTTGAATATTCTTGACTAAGTTGCTCTCTTAAAGGGAGCTTTTAGTCCTTCTTGGATAGACTAAAATATATAGAACCTTAACTGTATTCATATATGGTAGCTTAAAAAAATTGAAAGTTCAACCTATGTTATAGGTAAGTCTGACTATATATATCTCTGCGAAGTCCTGGGAATGTGTGGGTTTCTGTTGGCAAAAGTGCTGTTCTCCTGGACTTTGGAGATGGGACTTAGGAATCTGAAACAGGAAGGGCTATGGCTATTTATGCAGTCTCTTTGTTACTGTCTCCTTGTCACAACCAAAGCAATGCAATTTCACTGTTGCTAATGAAATCACTCAGATTTGAGTAGGATTCTTAGTCTTTGTCGTGAGGGGTTGTCTTCGTGGTTGTATCTTTGCTGTTTCTTTGGCTTAAGCCCCTAATGTCCATAAATTGATGATTCACTAAGATACATAAAATGACATATAGTGGAAAGGTAGTGTGATGAATGTTTAAAAAAAGTAGGGTGAAATACAATGTATTTCACCTGTTATAAAAACTATATGGTATAAAAATCAGCTGGGATGTGCTTACACACAGCAACAGAAGAGAATATTTTGTGCTTTCCATTTATGAGTTTCTTTCTTATTTAATGTGAATGCTTTCATTTTTTAAATTAGTAATGCCCTCCAACACACCTAATGTTCGTCGGACAAAAAGGATACGATTGAAACCTTTGGAATATTGGCGAGGGGAGCGCGTGAACTATACAATGATGCCTTCAGGTATTAGTTCTATTTGCTTTGTGCTGATAGCATGGTAAATGTTAATTAGCATGGACTGACTTTGTGCCATAAAAGCTCTGAGACATTTGCTATTTGCTCATTAATTTAAAAAAGTAAATTGTTTGTAGTCTGAAGCTACTGTTTAGTCATCTTTGCATGTAGTCTTTTTCTTTCTCTTGCTACTCCTCTTTCAGGTAGAAATAGTATCAGCAGAGAATGTTCTCTTTCAGGTAGAAATAGTATCAGCAGAGAATGTTAAGTGCACTTGTTTTAACTATATTGGGAAGAACAAAATGGTTTCTCAGTACCACTACATTCATTATATCAAAGATGCTGTACAATTTAGGGAAAAGAGACAACATATGGGTCATTCATTGCAGCATTTCTCTTGGTGTGTGGATTGTTATCTAGGGAAGATACTATAATATTTTATTTAGTCACGCCCCAAGCGAAAGAATACATCTTGTTCTGTGATTTTTTTTTCCTGACAATTCAGCCTAATTTGATCTTCGCTTAAATAACTAATCTGCTTGAAAATAGCATTTCTTTGCGTCCCTGAAGTTGATTTTTTTTTCTCTTAAAACTTGACTCTCATGTCGGCTTTCTGAAATATTCTTCATCTGAAATATGATCAGATTCTTTTCAAAAAGGGTCAGATTGTATTGCTTTTCTAAATACCTTTTACTTTTGAAAAGCTTTTTGGATTTCTTACTATTTTTTTAAAGCTATCTGAAGATAGCTTCAGCATTGAGGAAATATATTCTGAACTGAAATGCTTTTAGGGTGTGCAAATCTGCATTCTTGTAGAGTAATTATTATGTGTTAGGGAACTTTGCTTAACTTCCTTTTGTTTCAGGACTTGTGATCAGTGGAATAGTGTGTCCTGAAACAGAACCTCGCAGGAAGATTAAACGGAAGAAGGGTGGTCATAAGCAGAAAAGGAATCAGACAAGTATAAACACAGACTTCTGTTTTTTGGTTTTTCTTTTTGATGCTTTAAAAAAAATTCTATACTCAAATACACTATTGCTTTAAGATTTTCTCCTATGACAACTTGGTTCTCTCTCTAGGTGAAAACTTTACATAATGAAATTTGTTAATGTGATCTGACATGAGAAACACTTTGCTTTCACTGCGGCTATAGCAACGCTATCTGATCTTTTTATAAAAACTTGAACTTCTTTAGACTGGAAAGGGAGATCTAAAGGACAGAACCAGAAGTGTTGTGATGCCTTTAAAGCAGGGGTTAAAGAAAGTAAGCTGTACTCCTGTCCTTGATCAGCTTATTCGTTAATGATGTTAATGTGTTTAGGTTCATAATGTATAGTTTAGGTACAAAAGCTTCCTGGCATTTCGCTGATAACTGTAGTCTCACATCTGAAAAGGTAGCATATGGTGTCAATAGGTTTTTAAACTATTGTAGGTTAAATATAAACACGTAACAGGGCAGGTGAAACTTTAAGAATGAGGCACAAAATAGATAAAAATGGGTAATAAATCTATTTCTAAAAACCCACAAACAGGAAGCTTTGCTGGAGAGTCTATAAGGCCAGTAGATGATCAGCATGTAGACAGTACTCAGAAGGAAGATAGGGTCATAGTCCAGACAATTTCTTTTCTGTGCTTTCTGTGGAAGAGGTTTTGGTGTTAGAAGCTTTCTTTTTGGGGACGCATCAATGCTTTTGTTTGAAATTGAAACATTTGTATATAAAATAATAGAACAAATAGCAAAATGATGCTAACAAATTGGAGAATACCATATGGTCCCAAAACAGTTCTAAAACAACTCAAGCATGAAATAACTAACTTGTAGCTGTTGTACAACCTCTTGATTAAAATCATCCACACAAGTGCTGGCATTTTGCCATAGAAAAAAGGCCTCCAAGGGAGATCTGTGGATGTCTGTATCAAATGAATTAGAAACTGTACTAAATAGAATTAGTGGACACTGGGGTCAGAAATGAATTTGAGAAAGGAGGGAGTGCCTTATGAAATGTTGGTGTCCTATGAGGGAATCAGAAGTGATGGGAGATGGAAGGTAGGAGTCAACAGTCAATTTGTACAGCAGAAGGAAGTCACAGGTGTGTTTTTACAGGCATTTATATGCAAACTCATGGTGCCAAACTATTTTCATTGATCACACTTAGGGCAGTAAAAACTAGGGCTGTTGAGAATAAAGTACTCATGTTTGAAATATAAAATTCTGGAAGAACTGTAGTGACATAATAAAGTTTTTAAAATGTAAAATGATTATTTTACTGGGCCTTTTTTCTCCTCAGGGAGTGAGATAGCTGCAAATTTGGGTCAGACCCTAGCTGATACTTCTAAGCCAACTGTTGTACTGGACCCAATTACAAATAAGGAAGTTCTTCTAGGTAAGTTGAGGGAGTGTGACAAGGACCTTTCTGAATTATGTAGTAAGTACCTAGAACAGAGTCTTCCTTTAGACTGATCTAGAAAAATATTCATTCCTCCTTAAGCATTAAAAAAACCTGAGCTGTTGAAATATTAATTGTTTTTCTGGAGAAAGAGTCTGAGGGACAGAGAAAAAGGGACAGGCGAGTGAGATGTTCTGAATTTTCAGTTAAATATTGAGTCTAGCTCTTTGGGGTATTACACTGATATTGTGCACAGTGTATATAACTTAAAAAGTGGTTATTGAGCTAATGACAAAACTGATTACGTGTTTGCTTTAATGTTAATCTACTGTTTTTTTTTTTTTGTAGAGTGTATTAACACTGAAAACAGACATTCATGCTTCTTTAAAGATGAATCAGTAGAAATATATAAAAATCTGAATACTTCTGATTTTGCAACTGGTAAATTGGTCTTGAAACCATTTAAAGAAAAGGGACACCAGTTTGTTCACATGGATACAATAGTAAGTATACTTTTTTCCAATTTATTTTTATATAGTGGACTGTGTGTACAGAAAATCTTTAACACTTTGAAGAATATTTAGAATGATTAAAAGTAGCATATGAATTTGACAGGTTTGTTTTTCATTTTTCTGTCTTAAAATGCAAGTAAGTATAAGAAACATTAAAGAATCGTTTGAGTTGCGATACGAAACAGTTAGAAATAAAGAAACTTGCTAATATTAGCCCAGGTATTTTGCATGCACATTGCCTTTCTTTGTTTGACATTAAGCCTGTATCTCTGTATGCTTTTATTGTTTGGAACTGGATGACAAAATATAAAAGTATAAAGAAAAGGAATAAAAAAAAAAGAAAAAAAAAAACCTCCCCTCCCCACACTTCTAGGTTTTGCAAATTATTTTTCAACAGGAGTGAGGAAAAGGAGTTGCAGCTCTGCTTATTATGCTGGTTTACTTGTTTTTTGACCTTCATTTACAACTGTTGCTAGAAAACAGAGCTTATTTTCTTGGGTGGTTTTCTTAAATGTTTGCAAAAGGATCATTGCTAATCTTAGAACTGTTTGGCTTGTATTAAGGCTTTCCATGTTATCCACGGCAAAATTGTTCTTACCTTGCATAAGACGTCATACTATCTGACTACAGGGGACTTTTTCTATGTTCCAGCAGGTAAGCACGTATGTTTAAAAACACTTTGTTGGAAACAGACTAGACTGATTTAGCATGCTAGGAATTAAAACCGAATGATAGTTAAGAAGAATTTTGAGTTGGGAATAGGAAAGGATAGGGTTATGAAGAGGAGAATGTGATCCAACACTGGACGTGGGTTGATGACCTAAACTTTGAAGGTAGTCATGCAAACACTGCATGTTTTGGTGGGTTGGCTTCAAAGTTTTTGATTACATGATCAAATTTTGAGAGTCACGTTCTTTCGATAATCTGTTTCTGTCCCAAACTATAATGTTTGCAAAGCTTCACAGACAGCTTAATATGGTGGTAATTAATATGACTGTTTTAGTCTTTTTGCTAATTTTCTACATAAAAGTGTGAAAATCCAACTGGATCAGTTCAATACCTATTATGCTGTGTTTGATCTGTAGAAGGTGCAGACTTGTGTGTTGAAAGGGCTGTAACTTCATATTGGTTGAGAATTGTTAGATACCTCTGATTTTGCCCTTTTGAAATGAAAGTGGAATGAATTCCATATGAGAGTCTGTCCTTGAGTGGGTAGGACTGTAATCAGGAGAGTTTGAAGTAGTTCTGAAGGAGACTGTTCACGAAGCTATAGGGAACTTTTGTAGCTTGCTTGTGAAGAAGCTATGTTAGAAAATGACAAGCTGCCACTGGTACTCAATTTTTCCATTAACTTTTCACCATGGTGTCTCATTTCAACAGTCACTGTTCAATTAATGCTTGATGCTTTAGTAGAAGCTTTTTTGTTTTAATCTTGCAAGTTCAGTGGTCTGCAGAGGCAATTTTGTAGTTTGATTTTGGGAAAGTAGGTCATATGATCTGGTGAAAGTTTTGTATAGCTGTAGGGATCCATATTTTCTCATCATTCTCTAGTGCTTCCTAATGGCCTCAGTATTCTGAATGTGCTGGATGAATACTGCAGTAGTTATGGCAGGTGACCTCTTTGTCATCTATCAAGTGTGGTGGTATATATGAACATTAGGATGTTGCTTGCTCTCAACGTGCAGTGCCTTTTAGATGTTTCTATGTTTGGTGCCATGTTAGGATGCAAAAACAGTCTCCAGGTGCAGTTGTTAATGAGTTTTTCCATAGTAATTAAAAAAATAAATTCAATCATCTTAGAGTTTTGTTGTGGCTTTTGAGAGCTGAGAGCTCATGTCCACTACTTTGCTTTCGGTAGACTTCTTAATGAAGAACTGCTTTATTCTTACCATAGGTTAAAATAAATAACTCTAGATGTAGGTTTTCTTCCTTGTTTATCACTGTGAAATGCAGTGACTTGGGTTTAAGGATGGCATCCTAGATTAAGGGCTGCTCTTCCCTGTCTGTTAAAATATATGAAATAATGAAAAATAGTTAGTTGTAAACTTCAAAAACAGTTAATGGCTTCTAAACAAAACTTTATCTGCTTTTATTTTTAGGGAATGGATATAACATACGTAATATTCTGAATGAAGCAAGCATTCTTCTTTTCACACAACTGAAAAGAGATAGGTAAACAATTTTACGTATAAAATTTTGTTAAAATGCTTTTCGAACTTTTGTATAATAGAGTTTTTTGGGTTTCTTTTTTACATAAAAAGAGTTTGTCCAGCTTGACATTACAAACTAACACAGAGCAGGAGAAATCAGTATGAAGAGAGTTAAAAAAAAAACAAAACAAAAACAACTCAGATGTTTACTGATATTACATAATGAGGGGGCTTACTCTGGGTCTGGTACTGTTTTGCCATGTGAAGATCAAAAGATATCATTACAGAATTCTTAAGTAAAAGATATTGTTGTTCCAAATTGCATTTATATGTCTAATAACCCAAAAGATGCTTAGCACTTGAACAAGTTCTGACATTTTCAGGTAACATCTGGTAGACTTAAAGTTTGTCTGGTACAAACCTCTCAGAATAATCTCTGTTTAAACATAGGATGATGCTGCTTGCACTTCAATAATTGTTGGTCATGGAGATGGGCTCCTGGAATGCTTGTGTGCTAGTGTCCAGCATTCTTCCAATATGTTAATGACAGGAGCTTTTTCCTTGTCCAGCAGCTGGTAGTTAGTGTCTAAAATTCATGTTGTAAAATGGGAGGTCTTGTGTAGAAGCTTGTCAGTTGTACCTTTTATATGGAAGCTGCAGTGTGATTGCGTGATTACCTCTGAACGCTATGGATAGCTTTATTTTCTGTGGGCAGTAAATCATTGCCAAATGGTATTGCCTTAATATATCCTTCTGTTCTGCTTGATGTTTTCATAGGTAATAATAAAGACTGCTGGGAAAATCATGCTTGTTCTGTGTATTCCAAAAGCCAAGTCTAGACAGCAGATGGTGTATATAGCATTTGTCTCCCAAGCTATTAAAGGTTCCTTAAAGCTGAAGACAAGGATAAACTACAGCTATTACAATGGGGTCATTTTTCTGAATGGTTACTGCTATTCCAGAAGAGGAAGAGGAGACAGGGGAAACTAAGCTGGGATTGACAAGCGTTTAAGGACTGAGTACTTGAGGACTGAGTATTTACCTTTTAAATAGTTTTGGCCAAGATCCTTATGACAAATCTAGGGTATTCTTACTTATTAAAGTAAGAAAGAGGAGTTGGCTTTTAGTGCTTCCCTTAAGAAGCTGTCAGCTGCCAACTAGCTTCGTGTGTCTGTTAAAGTGCTTGGACACTGAGATTACCGTTCCTCTGTGGGAGATCAATTAGATTGGGGAAGTTGAGATAATATGCTTTTTTTTGTTTTTTTTTTTTGTTTTTTAAACATACTCTTTCAAGCAGTCATTCCTATGATCAGTGCTGACCTTGGAAATATTTGGTCAGAAGAAGTCATATGGCTTGTATGTATTTGTAGCTAAGTAACGCTGAACTCTAAGAAGGCGAAACAAAGGAATATGCCAGATACCATTCAGTTCATCCTCTGCCTTGATACAAATTACTTGCTGTCAAGGCTCAGACTGCAGGGAAAGACTTTTGATTTTTCCCCAGCCTCTAATTTGTAGATAGTTTAACATGAGAGCTTAAAAAAAGTAATTTAGTTGCAACTGATAATAATTTGATGCTGGCAGCTTTTCTGAATGTTGGGTTTGGGTTGGTCTCTTCAAGGTCATCTAGATTCAAATATTGTCCCTTCTGTGTTAGAGCCATATTAGCTACCAGATGGGCACGCATGCTGTCTCCACTGCTTGAGGGAATTCCACCCAGGAAAATGCTCAGTTTGTAAGTCTTTCTACTCCTCAGGCCTGCAGAGATCTGGAAATTTGCCACTTGGAAAAGAGTAGAGGGCTAGCATTAGACCAAAGATCATCTACTCCTCTCCCACAAGTCTTGCAGCAGTCAGGACATGGATGTGATCTCTGAGCCCCACAGCTCATTTGCTTCAGCTGAAAGTCAGAGTAAAACCACTTTTCAGATGTGTTAAAGGTAGGGGAGTTCAGAAGGAGGGCAGGCTACAGGTTCTCTTCTGTATTACCTGTCTGCTGAGATTGTGTAGCTCCCTTTAGCCTCTGGAAAACTCATGCTGGAAACTCATGTGCACTTGAAATGCTGATGACTTGCTGCAGAGATAGCATTACAGGTACCCCTACCTTCAGCACCCCAGAATCTCTGCTTAAAAAGCAAGGCCTATTTTCATCAATCATTCCTTCTACAGTGCTGAAATCGGTGACAAAAACGCTGATCTTTTATGCTGACACCATAAAATATCCTCATGCACTAAGTGTGTTTCACAACATGGGCGTGAGCATGCTAAACTAATTCCTCATTCCTATCCAGAGATGAGTGCTAAACTCCATTAAGTTTATGGGCTCCCTATGTCAAAACAGGTTCCTGAAAGTTTGGCTTGACCTTTTATTTTTAGCTAGACTTGCCTTTTAGAGAGTATTAAGATATGCATCTTGGCAATGCCATGTGACAAGCCAGACTAGACAAAACCGCTGCCACCTAAAGCATTCCCTGTATTCCACAAGTAGCCTATTTGCTGGTGTTTTATCCTACTATGAGAGAAGCTTCTGTGCAGCCTTGCAAAGGAGCGTACCCTTTGCTATCCTTTCACTTTGCAGGTGTGGAAAAGGGGATGCCTTGTTAAAGGGGCTGGTGAACAATATGGGTTACAGTTTATGGTTCTGAAGGAAAGTGTGGATGTATGTTGTTACGGAAGTCCAGGCAGCCTGCCACTTTCCTGCAACATGTTCTACATTGGTAGGTTCAGCTGACAGGTCGTATATTGCCCTTGTTGTATCAAGGGCGCCAATCTGTCTTCCCCCACTGTACTATATTGCAACTTGGCAGCAAGCTTTTGAGTGGATTTTCGTTGGTCGCGAGTAAATGGTGAAAAATCGATCCTTCAGAACGTTTCCTTAAACAAAAGGAAACGTGCGCAGACCTGTTCCTGACACAGACTGCAAAGCGCCAGATACTGAAGTGCAGGTCTGAGATCAGAATGCCACAAACATTTGGTCAGGTTTTCCTAATTCTGTGTCTGGGAATGACAACAGAATGCAATGGGTGCAGTTTTTTGGGTTGGATGGTTTTGTTACTACCTGGCTACTGAATTTCTTACAAGAGGTATCCCATATAGTTGAGTTTGCAGAGAACATTTCAGAGTTGAACTGCATCTCAGTGTTTGATTTTTCTCTCTTTAGTAGCAAAGTCATTTCAGCTGAGTATGCGTGGTATTGTATCTGGGATGTTCCTTTTAGTTTGTAAAATTATGAGGAAGTATCAGAGCTATCCAACTGGATACTTGCTTATTTGGGTTTTTTTGCCTTTGTGTTCCTTGTTAAACTTCTGATAAAAGAAATGGTTGCATACCATGTATTTTGCTGTGACAATCAAGCAAGAAGCACCTTTCTCTTCCACTCTGGTGTGAAAAAGGAGCTTGGTTTCTTGAAATAGTTACAGTGGCTCCAACCTTCTGTGGTTTAGGAAAAATATTGCGTTTTGGAAAGAAGAGGCGGCAGAATACAAAAGAATTAAAAAAAAAAAACAAAAACAATAACCAACTTGAACTTTTCCTGGTCTGTCTATAGAAGCAATTCCAATATTTACCATTAGATGGCGATCTAAGCACCTCTATTTGTGCTTAGGCTGGCACCTATACTTTAGTAGGGTTTAACTTTTAAAAGGGAAGAAGCAGCACATGTTACAGATGGAGATAAAAATTCAGTTGCATCCTGTTGCCGGTAAATGTAAATCAATTTCTATTAACATTAGGACTAGGCGTTGTAACTTGCTAATTTAATTGTTACGTATGTTGTACTAGTTGCAGCCATTCACTTGAAACTGTTTTTTAAAATGATAGTACATGGTGTGTAAGGAGTTGAGTTGAGCTAGATTGCTTGCCCTTTATCTGGGTTGTATTTTTTTTTTTGCTTGACCCTTGTGAAAAACTCATTTCCCTGTCATTAGCCTGAATATAATGTGAGCAAGTGCAGGACAGTTCACAACTTGAGTTGTGCAGTTGTGTTTGTGAGTCTGAGTTCCATTACTCATAAGGGTGCTGAGCTGTACAATATGAAATGCAGCAAACAAGAACTGGTCATTAGTCAGACAGTGCCGCTATGTTTCATTTTTGCCTGCTCTTGTTACGGCTCCTGCTTCCTATATTTTAGTGTATATCAGGCTATTAGTCGTCATGGGTAACCTTTGGTGATCTAATTTTTTTCCTTTACGAAGTGTAAAGGAAGAAAAAAGTCTAATGGATATTTCTCTGACATCTGAGAAATTAGCTTTCATAAATCCCTTTCTACTCCTTGCCAAGATGCGATTCTTCTCTTGTGTGTATTTTCTGCTGTGTTGAGCAATCTAACTTCCACAGCCTTATATGATGATTTTGTACAGAGATGTGGCAAAATTATTTAATTTGAAAAATGAAAAGATAATAGCCCATGCAGATCATTTTGTGGCCTGTAGCTTGAAATTATCTTCTTAGGGTTTATGTAATGTTATTTGCATGCTGTAAGCTTTTAAAACAGCTTTTAGGTTACTTCATACACTATAATGTCTTATCTATTCAGCTCAGATTGTTTTGCTTGCACTAGAATACAGAATGTTACCCCTAAATGTAGGGTAAATAGGAGATAAGTTTATGCTAAGCTACACTAAAATGAGTTAGCCAGTGTTACCTGCTGCCAGTTGAAGTTAGGGTATGAGTTTACTTCATCTTAGGCACATCCGTATTCCATTTGCCGTATCTTTAGCAGGCTCATTGAAGCAAATAAGAATTGGATTTGAATGGAGACTGATTTACCGTATCATGACTACAGATGGTGCTTTCAGGATTATGGTCATGAAAGAGACATGCCAGGACAGTACACGTTCTGTTGCCGGTGCCGTCAATATACTGTTCCTGGAGGATAGGGATGTTTTAGGATGTTAATTTGTTGCTTTCTGTGAACAGTAGCAGAGATTTGAAAACAAAGGCTGAGTCATATTTCATCCTCTCAGTGTTAGTATGTACTTGAAGTCAGATTTTTAAAGATTTTTGGCTCCCTCTGAGAAAAATG